TAAGCCACACCAGCCAGGCTATTATTTATTGTCATTTTAAAGACATAGAACACCTACATATTCAATTTGACAAACTACTTTATTTACTCCTCAGTGGTTGAATATTTGGACTGCTTCTACCACTTTGGGGGGACTACTTTCAGGACACTACAGAAAATCCTTGTAAGAACATGTTTACAAATATATGGGAGATTTGCCTTAGTATAGATTCCAAAAGTTGAATGATTTAGTCAAAAGGTAGGAACATTTCTAAAGATTATGAAGCATTTTGCTGGATTGCTTCTGAAAGACACCTCACCAGCAGGCCATGTGCCAGTTTTCCTATAACTAATTATTAATACTAATGCTAACCAGTACTAATTAGTAAGCTTCTCATACATTTAAAAGATTAAGTTATACCATTATTTTAATCTTTGTTTTTGATAAGTAAAGAAGTTGAACATTTTAGTAAGATTTTTGGCTGTTTGAATTATTTCTTTAGTGAATTATTCACATATTTTTTAAATTTGTCAGAATTATTTACTAAAAATATATTGTCTAGTTGTGATATATACTTTTCCCAGTTTGTGGTTTGCCTTTCAAATTTGTTTATGGTGTCTTTTAGTGAACTAAATGTTTAATTTTAAATAGACTTTTATTTTTTAGAGAGTTCCTATATACCATATGTAGATTTTTTAGACTGGCTTCCTTTACTTAGTGATATACATTTACGATTTCTCCATGACTTCCCATAGCTTGATAGATCATTTCTTTTTATAATTGAATAATACAATATTGTATGGATGTCCAACAGTTTGTTTATCCATTGGCCTTTGAAGGACTTCTTGGTTGCTTTTCATTTTGGGCAATTACGAATAAAGAGGCAATAAACATGTGTGTGCAAGTTTTTGTATGGGCATAAATCTTCAACTAGGGGGGTAAATACCTAGAAGCTCAGTTGCTAGACTGTATGATCAGCCTATATTTAGCTTTATCAGAAATCACCAAACTTTATTCCAAAGTGACTGTACCATTTTTCATACTCACCAGCAATAATGAGAGTTTCCTAATGACTTATAGCTTCTTTTCATATGCTTATTTTTCATTGGTATATATTCTTTTATTTTTTTAAAATATATTTTATTGATTTTTTACAGAGAGGAAGGGAGAGGGATAGAGAGTTAGAAACATGGATGAGAGAGAAACATTGATCAGCTGCCTCCTGCACACTCCCAACTGGGTATGTGCCCGCAACCAAGGTACATGCCCTTGACCGGAATCAAACCTGGGACCCTTGAGTCCGCAGGCCGATGCTCTATCCACTGAGCCAAACCGGTTAAGCCTGGTATATATTATTTAGTGGCATGTCTGTTTTGATCTTTTGCCAAATTTATAAAGTTACTTATTTGCTTATTGTTGACCTTTAAGAGATCTTTGTATATTTTGGATACAAGTCATTAAAAGTATTTGGTTTTTATATAATAAAAACAATTTATTTTCTGGCTTCTGTCTTTGGTATTTGTCTTTAAAGTCTACTCTCAGATTATACATATTTACTTGTATTTTTTCAGTATTTATATGATTTAACTTTGAGATATTTATAACTGGAAATCTCAAATTTTTTGAGAGAATGATTCTATTGTTTCCTCCATTGAATTCCATTCAGATATGATTGCCTTACCTACTTTTGACAGCCGTGCAATGGAAAATTGGGGATTACTGATATTTGATGAGTCATTATTGTTGCTGAAACCAGATGAGCAACTAACAGAAAAAAAGACGGTGATCTCTCACATTGTCTCCCACGAGATTGGGCATCAGGCACGTGGTAGAATGTTTTCTCTTATTTCACATGAAGATGTTTCCCAGCTGCTCTACCAAAAATAGCAAAAAACAAAGTAAAAAAAGAAAAACAACAACACCTGCCATACACCAAATTTTAAAAAATTTATTCAAAAAATGGGACAATGAGAGCCCTGGCCAGTATAGGTCAGTTGGTTGGATTGCAGCCTATCCCTGGTAGTGGGCATGCAGAAGGCATTCAATCGATGTCTCACTCTCATATAGATGTTTCTCTCTCCCTTTTCTTTCCCCTCTTTCTAAAAAAGAAAATATTTAAAAAATAAAATGGGAGCCATGGCCAGTGTGGTTCAGTTGGTTGAATGTCTTCTCATGCAGCTAGAGGTTGCTGGTTTGATCCCCAGAAGGGGTACATGTCTGGGTTGTGGGCTCAATCCCCAGTAGGACGCATGCAGGAGGCAGCTGATCAATGTTTCTCTCTCCTTCTCTCCCTTCTGCCCTCTCCAATATATATATATAATGAGAAAAACAAGGGAAGCTCTATGTAATCACATCCTGAGTAGATCTGAACAGTTGTTGATGGATCACAGTGATGAGACCTTACAGTCCATTGGAGGATTAGCTATTTACATCCAAGGATTAACTTGCTCTAAAAAGTTCCCTTCAGGAAAAATAAGCCAAGCAGAGCTATGATTATTTGTTTTCATGCCATCTCAAAGTAAGGTACATCATAAAAGTTTACGGAAAGATATCCACATTTCATCAGTAGATTGTTACAAGCTCTTTCTTGGGACGGGGGGTGGGGGAAGAGAGGTTAAAGGAATATATACAATATATTAGTGTCAATGAGATGAGTGATAATTAATCCTCGAGCTGCATACCCAAAACTGGTGTAAACAAAGTTCATTACATTAGAACTATATACTTTCATGTTGTGGTTGGAGAAGTTTAGTTTGATGGAAATTTGGTTTGATGGAAATTTTCATATGCCCCTTTTGACCTTGACTTCATTAATACAAGCCAGTCAAGAAAGAAATAACTAAACTATGAAATTATTTTGTTACATAGATTTATAAGAAATTTTGGGAAAGTGATTTACTGGGGTTGAATAACAAACACCCTGTTACACAGTCAACACACACTTTCACAAGTTTTGATCAGTCACCCAAGGTGTCATTTTTTATTATATCCTAAGTGACACATTGTTTTGGAATACAGGCTAACTCTTAGCACATCACAGCTGTTCTAATAATTTGGTTAAATACTAGGGTGTGGATTTGTTGGTCTTGGAAATTATTGTGTTTTTCTTTCCTGATTCTATTCATCATCTGTTTGACACTTTCTATTAAGCTCAAATAGAAAATAATGATAGCGGTACCATTTTGCAGAACATGATTACTTGAGTGATTTGTACATGGCACAGATCAAATCATATTTTTAGAACATAATAACTGCTTACAGCCAAATCCTGCTGTAGTTTATTTAGAGTATAAGATGCTGTAATTAGTAGGTATTATGTGACATTTAGAACTTCTGCTTTATTTAACTTATGGGCAAAGTGGACAGTTTAAGAAATGCTACTCTGGCTTTCATTATTTTTGAACATCACATTAAAACAAAAATTGCTTTCAATCTTTGAATGTGAAATAATTATTTCAGGGAAATGAGCACATGACTCATATTTCTTCATGTTAAAACAACATGTTTTTGGATTCCTGTTTTATTGATAGCAAATAAAGTTTGTCTTTGATTCTACATTTATTTAACATGCAATTTCAAGAAATATTACCTAAATTAAATTTAAGAAAACTCTTTTCTTTTCTATCTTCAAAAGTGGTTTGGAAACTTGGTTACCATGAGTTGGTGGAACAATATCTGGCTCAATGAAGGATTTGCATCTCATTTTGAGTTTGGAGTAGTTAATTACTTCAATCCTAAACTCTCAGGAGTAAGTATGTCTGTCAAATTTATGTGTAATTTTTTCTCCTACTTATAAGAGTAATGCATAGTTATTGATGAAAATGTGTAAAATGTAAGTAATACTACATTATCTGTAATACCAGAGATGATCAGTGTTATCTTTTTAATGTATTTTCTTTTTCCAGGCTTATTTATTGTAAATATTCATAAAAGTGGGAATTACACAGAAATGTATAATGCCTTTTTTAACTTCAAATGATATCAAAAGCATTTCCACAAATCATTAATTATTTTTGAAAACAAGGTTTTTAAAGGTTGCCTAACATGTTATTATATAACCTTATAAGGTATATGTGTATAATCTTTTCCTATTATTTGATTTTAGGTTATTTTCACTTATTCCTACCTAACCTAAATTTTAAAGCAGTTGTATTCAGTGGTCTATGACTTTAATGATAAGTGATATGCTATATTATATATTTAAAATAGTACATATAATTTCACATATAATATAGTTGATATATAATCTATATAATAAAAGCCTAAGCGACCATTATAGTGGAACGACCGGTCGCTATGATGAGCACTGACCACCAGGGGGCAGATGCTCAACGCAAGAGCTGCCCCCTGGTGGTCAGTGTGCTCCCAAAAGGAGAGCGTCACTCAGCCAGAAGCTGGGCTTATGGCTGGCAAGTGCAGCAGTGGTGGCGGGAGCCTCTCCCGCCTCCATGGCAGCGCTAAGGAGTAGCAAGTCAAGTGATAAGGAGCGAGCAAGTAGGCAGTAAGGAGCGAGGGATCCTGGATTGTGAGGGTGGACATCCCCCAAGGGGTCGTGGACATCTAGAGGATGCAGGCCGGTGCATGAATTTTGTGCACCGGGCCTCTAGTATATTATATAGCTGATGTTTATATATTATAGCTCATATTATTTTGCTGTTTTGAGTAATTAGTAATATGAAAAAAAGGATAAATTTATGGGTATGCAATTCTGATGATTTCAACTCTAAGTTATATTTTTGATAATTTATTTAGAGTAATTAGGTAGTGCTCTCAGGATGTCATGATCAAGCTAAATTGACTTTATTTTACTTAGATGTTTACGTGTTTAAATTTAATATCATCCTTTGACACAGACCTCACCCCTTTATAACAAACCAGAGGCCCTTTCTTCCCTTCTGGTCCTGCCTCCCGCCACCACCTCTGATGCTTAGGGCAGCTCTTCCTGCTGCTCTCTGCCAGCCTCTTCCTCATCTCCCCTCCCAAGTGGTTCCCAGGCTGGATTCTTGGCCTCTTGTCCTCTCCCCACCCCCACTCATTCAAAGAGTGTATTGTTATTTGAAATGTTGATCTCCACTGGCCAGCTCCCCCTTACAGGCTAAATTTCTTCACTTTGAAGGAGTTTGTAAGAATATATTGCTAATAAAATTTGCCTTCTTTTATGAAAGGATGGTGATGGTACATAGATAATGTTTGGTTTTTGTTGATTAAAAAGATGGTAGTGCCCTAGTTGGTTTGGCTCAGCGGATTGAGGGTTGGCCTGCGGACTAAAGGGTCCCGGGTTCAATTCTGGTCAAGGGCACATGCTGAGGTTGCGGACTCGATCCCCAGTAGGGAGCGTGCAGGAGGCAGCCAATCAATGATTCTCTCTCCTCATTGATGTTTCTATCTCTCTCTCCCCTCTCCCTTCCTCTCTGAAATCAATAAAAAAATATATTTTTTGAAAAGATGGTAGAATAAAAAGTTGACAAACCTGTCTTAGCCCTACAGACTTAAAAAAAACTTTTTTGCATCTGTTTGTGAAATCATGGTTTTTGGGAAACACTGATATAGCAACCTCTGAATGTCCCAGTTCCATGCACCTACTCTCCCCTTTTCAGATATCCTATAAAATGTCCACAACTCTCAGTCCAGCTGCTCTGTGGTGCCTCTGTTCTTTCTCCCATGGATTGGCCATTATTATATAGTTCAGCAGAAAGAAGTATCAAAAGGCTAACTGACTTTCCAAGTTCATTTTCCTGATTGGGACAGAACTGTGATTATAACCCAGTTGTCTGGATCTAGTCTAATGACTAGGGTAATGATGAGAGTGACAACAGTAATATGGTCTTTGCCATTAACTGAGCACTTTGGACTTAAGTGCCAGGTACTGTGAATTCTATACACACATCATCTTAATCCTCAAAACAATCATCTGAGTGTAGTTGTTATTTTTTCTATTTTATAGTTAAGGAAACAGGCATGGAAGCATTAAGTGCACTGTGCAAGGTTTCAGAGTTATTAAATATCAAAGGTGAGATGCAATTCCAAATTCTCTGACTGCAAAGCCCATGCCTTTAACCACCGTGCTCTGCAGAAAGCACTCTGGAGTGTTCTTGCTCTCAAGGAGCCAGTGTGTGTGTGTGTGTGTGTGTGTGTGTGTGTGTGTGTGTTTATATGACTCTTTTCATATATATAAACTTTGTATACATGTAGTAAATCTTAGTTTTCTTCAAAAGCCCTATCCATATACTCTAAACCTCTATTCTTAGAGTCAATAAAGAAGTTCCATTCCCCAAAATAATTAGATTTACTCTCTATGTTCTTTTTAAATTTTATTTTCAATAACAGTTTACATGCAACATTATTTTTATTAATTTCAGATGTGCAGCATAGTGGTTATACAGTCATATACTTTACAAAGTGTTCTCTCCCAATTTTCTCAGTACCCACCTGGTACCATATATAGTTACAATATTATTACAATACTAGAGGCCCAGTGCACAAAATTCGTGCACTCAGGTGGGCGGGGGGTGGGGGGGGCGTTCCTCAGCCTGGCCTGCACCCTCTCGCAGTCTGGGAGCCCTTGGAGGATGTCCAACTGCTGGGTTAGGCCCACTTTCCGTCAGTCAGACATCCTGAGCACTGCCCAGCTTCTGGCTGAGCGCATTGACCACCAGGGGGCAGCTCCTGTGTTGAGTGTCTGCCGCCTGGTGGTCAGTGTGTATCATAGCAACTGGTCATTCTGCCGTTCAGTCGATTTGCATATTAGCCTTTTATTATATAAGATTATTGACTCTATTCCCTATGCTGCGCTTTGCATCCCTGTGACTGTCTTGTAACTACCAATTTGTGCTTCTTAATCCCTTCACCTTTTTCACTCAGCCCTCCAACTCCATCCCCTGTGGCAAACATCAGTCTGTTCTCTGTTTCTATAAGACTGTTTCAGTTTTGCTCATTAGTTTATTTTGTCGCTTAGATTCCACATATAAGTGAAACCATCTGGTATTAGTCTTTCTCTGACTTACTTATTTCACTTAGTATAATACCCTGACTTACTTATTTCACTTAGTATAATACCCTCTAGGTTCATCTATGTTGTCACAGATGGTAAGATACCATTCTTTTTTATGACCTGGTAATATTCCATTGTGTATATGTCCCACTTGTCTATTGATGGACACTTGGGTTGCTTCCATATCTTGACTATTGCAATGAACATAGGGATACATATATTCCTTTAAATTAGTATTTTGGGTTTCTTTGGATATATTCCCAGAAGTGGAATTGCTGGGTCATAAGGCAGTTCCATTTTTAATTTTTTAAAAAACCCTCCATAATATTTTGCATAGTGGCTGCACCAATTTACATTCTCACCAAAATGCACAAGGTTTCCCTTTTCTCCACATCCTCACCAACACTTGTTGTTTGTTGATTTACTGATGATAGCCATTCTGACAGGTGTGGAGTGGTATCTCATTGTGGTTTTAATTTGCGTTTCTTTGATGATTAGTGTTGTTGAGCATCTTTACATATGTCTATTAGCTATCTGTATACCCTCTTTGGTGAAATGTCTACTCAGGTTTTCTGCCCATTTTTAAAATTTTACCCTGTTCTTAATTAAATAGAATATATTAACATTAATCTGTACCTCTTAATGCAACTAAAATGGCTAAGGTATTGTCATATCTGGGAAACTTGATGAAAACATATTACTGGTGTTTTCGAAACTTAGATGGTAAGATTAGCTCTTTTTGTATCATTTAGTTATTTTTTTCATCATTAGTTCTTAATTACTCTTTTCTGAGTCTACATTTCTCACTTATTGTGCAGCAGAGTGAATACAATCCTTGCTAGAAGAGCATCAGATCCTGGCACTTGAGAAAATTAGCATAAGCTTTGAAAAAAAATTTTTTTAAGCTTAAGGCCTTATTTCAATAACCTTTGAGAGATCATGGACTTTTATCTAGTCATTAGATTGAAATTGAGAAGGAAAATCAGAGAACCATATGCAGATGCAGAACTCCTGAGTGTTAAACTAATAAAACCTATACTTAATGAATAAGATCAGACTTATGTAGATGTCGCCCCTAAATTTTTGTGACTCAAAGTGTGATTCTCAAATTAGCCATGTCAGCGGCATCTGGTTAAAATATAGGCCCCACCCCAGACCAACCGAATTAGAAGATGAGTTTGACAAAATCCCCACGTGATCTTTATTGACATTAAAGATTGTCTTTATTGGCATGCATTGCCCTAAATGATAGGCTTTCTCAGAGTTTGATAAGAGCCTAATCAATGGTATTAATAAATCTAAAAATACTGTGCTAATGGGAGAGTGATGATTGGAACATAGGCTAATGGAAGTGGGGCAGAATTTGAAAGTTTATCTGACACTGACCAGGGGTGAGAGAGTCAATATGGGGACCCCCAAAAGAGGCTTCATGTGGATTATCAGGGGCTCTCCAGGGTATGCTATTCCTGCAACTTCTCCATTGTTCCTTCTTTGGCGCATCCACCCCATGCACCTCTTGGCTATACTTTGGTTATCCTTTCAGCTTTTCTTCAGAAAGAAATGGCCCTTGTCATGGGTCAGAGAGATTTAGTCTTTTATAGAGTTCTGTACTTCTTATCAAAATGTAACAAATTGCCTCCTTATAATGTATGAGTTATATATAAACTGTTATATCTAATCTGTTATTTCCAATTACAAATTATTATATCAGCATTCTTTTGAATTTATAAATATGGCATGCTTGTGGTTTATGAATGCCCATGAAAGAGATACTGATTGATCTTAAGGGTTTGCTATTAGTAATTAGATTAATATTAGATTTTAATAATTCTCTATAAAATTCTAGAGGATTAAAACCACCAGGAGATGCCCTAACCGGTTTGGCTCAGTGGATAGAGCATCAGCCTGCGGACTCAAGGGTCCCAGGTTCGATTCTGGTCAAGGGCATGTACCTTGGTTGCGGGCACATCCCCAGTAGGGAGTGTGCAGGAGGCAGCTGATTGATGTTTCTCACTCATCGATGTTTCTAACTCTCTATCCCATTCCCTTCCTCTCTGTAAAAAATCAATAAAATATATTTTTTAAAAAATCACCAAGAGATACTATTCTCCCCCCCGCCAACCCAGGAACCTCCTTAGGAAAAAGGTATATGGAGCTCTTGTAATTGATTTTTTAAAAATTGAAATAAAGAAAGACACTAAATGGGAAGGAAAGTATCCTAGAATTTTATTACTCATGGAATTCTTGCTTATTTGGCATATTGTAGTTCACAGAGTACTTCTCAATTATTGTTTTTCCCTTCTTCAATGTCAGTTTTTTAAAGTATTTTGGGAACATTGAACTTTGTGTTTCTGTGACACCTCAGAACTTAATGTGGCTCAATCGTTTCCTTTTAGAATGAAGTGTTTTTTTCTAACCTTTTACATGATGTTCTCAGAGAAGATCACTCCCTGGTGTCACGAGCTGTATCCATGAAGGTGGAAAATTTCACAGAAATTAATGAAATAAGTGAGCTCTTTGACATATTTACTTACAATAAGGTAAAATCAGTCATATATTTCCTTTTGTTTTGAACTCTTGCAGAAAGTTGCATAAAATAGATTCCAAGGTTCATAAGCTAATATGCTATTGTACAACTTTTGATACAAATAACCCTAATTTTATTCAGTAGATAGATTTCAGAAAATGTGGTTAAATCAATTATTATCTGGTAAATATTAATCAAGCACATCTTAGGTGCTCAGTACCATCTACTATTATGAATAGACTTAGACACTTAGACCTAGACACTTCTATTTGGTACAAATTTATTTTTGCCATATATATATATATATTTAAACATTTTGTGTACCCTCAACTTTTTATATGTAGGGCATTAGTTCACCTTGTACCTATTAATTAGTGTCAGTCTACTATTTTATTAAAATATTTTAGAATAACTGAAGTTATTCAACTAAAGTGCACAATGCAGTCAGGAGCACAGCCCAGCATAATGCTTGTTGAAATGGAATGTGTCAGTATTTAGATATTGAATTTTGTTCAAATCATGGACAACTTTTTATGTCTTAGGGAGCGTCTATGGTCCGGATGCTTTCTAGTTTCCTGAGTGAGAATTTATTTATCAGCGCACTTAAGGTAAGTTTACAAAATGTTACTTGGAAGGCAATAAATGTAAATTGCTTTAGGATGTGATTTATTCTAACCTTAACTTTTCTATTTTTACAGTCATATTTGGAGACATTTTCTTACTCGAATGCTAAGCAAGATGATCTCTGGAGGCATTTTCAAATGGTATTGGCCTACTTCCTGACATGTTTTTGCTGAGTTGTTCTGTATGATAGAGTTCAACAAGATGGGGCAGCCAGTCTTATATGGCAATGCCACAGGAAAACAGTTTTACCTTGTTTGGGAAACTCCCTTAAGTCGGGCTGTTTCTTTAGTCTCCAATACTGTATTCCCAGTGCCCAGAACAGAGCCTGCACATATTAGGTCTAAAAATATATGTTTAGTGAGAGAATGAATGAATAAACTAAGGAACCATTCAGGTATAGAGTTGAAGGGAGTTCTGAATTTGGCCCCGGTATATCACCCACTGGGAATTACTATATAGAATAGCTATGTCGTTTCTTTTAGGAGATTGCTACCTCAAAAGATTTTGAAGATAAATATCTGCTTTTCTGATGTTTTTTTAAAAACAGGCCATAGATGACCAGAATAAAATTGTATTGCCAGCAACAGTAAAAAGTATAATGGACAGTTGGACCTACCAGAGTGGTTTTCCAGTTATCACCTTAAATGTATCTACTGGCGTCATGAAACAGGAGCCATTTTATCTTGGAAAGGTTAAAAATCAGACTCTTCCAACCCACAAGTAGGTAGATTTGCTCCTCTGTCTTTCCCTTCCTTGGGTTGAGTTCTGATCAAATGGAAACCAGCCTGTGGGTGAGGAAGCATGACCCCTGCTGGCTACACATTTTTGCAGAGTGACTCTGGGATGGTGACTTAGGACTCCCTGTAGGACGTTCCTGAGGTGCTAGGTTAAGGGAGAGCTCCTGATGTCCTGAGCCAGGCCACAGACCTGCTTTTAAGGTTTCAAGGCAATGCCTCTCCTCAACACCATTGACCAAAGCTTTGGGTGTTATGTATTTCTTTTTTGTCCTTCAGACAGAAATAACAAATTACTCAGGATTCTGGGTGACAGGCAATACGCTAGAGCCATAGATAACCTCATGCTAGTTAAGAGAAAAGGATATCGTGTTGCAAGGTCATCTTCTTTTCTCTAGAAACAGTACTGAATGGTAACTATGTCTGAGGAATAGTTTTGTGCATGAACACACATGCATGTCTATGTGTATTTGTACCCCTTCCTATAGCATTAGAATTATGGGCTTTCAATACTGTTAGACCTGGGTTCAAATAGGAACTCCACCAAACTTCAAATCTTAGGTAAGTCTTATTTAAAATCTCTGAGTTTTAATTGACTTATCTATAAAATAAACATAATAACAGGTATCCCAGTAGATTGTTGTAAAAATGAAATAATGAGTATAAAGTGGCTTAGTATTCATCATTTTCTCCTTCCCTTCTATTTCTTAATTTGTTAGATCATTTTTAACTGTTTTTCATAAAATTTTGATCCTCACATCTCATTGTAGTATTGCCACAAATGAGTAATTAATTTTCAAATACCACCACCAAAATTTCCAGGTCCTCCTACTCTTTCTTTAAAACCCCAGGGGAGAGGAACAAGGGACCTAAAGATTTCTTCTCACTGTGATATACTGTGTCTTTTGAGAAGAGTTATGCCTTAGTCATTAGGTAAAACAGAGACCCTCAGTTTATTGCCTTTGAGAACCCAGACTTGTGAGTATTTGAGCAGATTGAAAAATATTGCCCAAATTCCAAGTAGCATGTCCGTCCCTTCAGATGACTAATGTCCTCCTTGTGGTCAGCTACTTCATCCAGGTCATGTCCACAAACACGGAAAGAATGCTGGCCTTCAGGAAATATGAATGATCTGGCTGACTCATGCTGAACATTTTTCAGATGAGGAGAAAGCTTGATGCAGAAAAGTATTTTGAAATATTTGCCAAGTTTTTCTTCTTAAATTTCTCTTTACCTCTCTTGGCAAGGATGGATTTGGGTCTGTCTGCAGCATTTGAACAACCTCTGAACAGGCCAGGTGGCTATAATTTATTATAAACAGGCCTTTAAAGTTTCAGATACAAGATAGTCCTAGAAGCTACCTTAAGTTTTAAGAAGTCAATCTATAACAGTGGTTCTCAACCTTCTGGCCCTTTAAATACAGTTCCTCATGTTGTGACCCAACCATAAAATTACTTTCGTTGTTACTTCATAACTGTAATGTTGCTACTGTTATGAATCGTAATGTAAATATCTGATATGCAGGACAGTCTTAGGCGACCCCTGTGAAAGGGTTGTTGGACCGCCAAAGGGGTCGCGACCCACAGGTTGAGAACCACTGATCTATAAGATACAACAAGAGAGAGTAAACAAACAACTAAAGCCAAACTGGCTTGTAAAATCAATAGTGAATAATAAAAAGCCAAGTCCTACATATCCAGAGGGAATGACCAATTTCTGTCTGTTATTTTATCATCTCATTTAACATTGGCTCAGTGCTTACATTCTTATGTGTGAAAATTAACTGAATTTAAAAAATTTTTCTAAGTGACACATGGATTGTACCTGTTCTTTGGATGAAAAATGGAACTACACAGTCTTTAGTCTGGCTAGATAAAAGCAGCAGTAAGTAACAAATTTTTTAAATATCTTCACATATATACATGCATATATATAATATAAAGGATAAAAAGTTGAAATATTTAGCTTTTGAAAAGCTATCCTGTTTAAAACTAAAGTATGATATCATTCCTGTTGAACATAGAGATTTAAAGAAAAGTTTCAAATCAAAAGCTATTAATGTGAAAAAATGTAATTATATGGTAAGATATATATATATATGAATTTGTTTAATTTTTGTTTCATTGGATTTATTGTTTAGAATTAAGAGAATATAGTATAAACATATATTGAAATATTTTTCAAATGTACCACATCAAACATTTCACATATTTCTTTGTAGAATTATTCCCTGAAATGCAAGTTTCAAATTTTGATCATGACTGGGTGATTTTAAATTTGAATATGACTGGATATTACAGAGTTAACTATGATAAATTAGGTTGGAAGAAATTAAATCAACAGCTTGAAAAAGATCACAAGGTAAGATTGTTTTTATATCTTTTTAAAAATATCATTAGTATTGCACTCTCTAGCCTTTCAGAGTTGAGTTTTCATATGTCTGTCTGATGAGAAGAGACCTTCCCCTCATTACTTATTCTTAGAAAAGGGAGATTTTGGTTGAATGCTTTGTATTTTTGAACATTAATCTCACTTTTCCACAACAATTTTACCTTTCTTGGTAAAAATAAGAATACATTTTCCTATTAACCATTAGTTTTGTGATGTTAGGCAAGTTACTTAAATGTTCTGCTTTCATTTCTTATTTTAAATGGAAGTAATATTATGTATTACTTATTTATCAAGAGGATTAGAGACGATGTAGGTAAACATATACTTAAAATTTCTAAGCCCATAATAGATGTGCAGTATATGCTAGAAAATGTTAATTTTTGTAAAAATTTTATTCTCACTCTTCCTCAGAGGGGAGAATTTAATCCACAAATAGCAATAATAATCCAATACCACTTTAAATTGTGAAAGAATTATAAATCATTATACAATATGTAAATATTAAAATGTTGGCTAGCTCTAGTCAGTAAGACTTTTATTGATTGAATTTAACTAAATCTCCATTGGTGGAGATAGATGCTGGCTTATAAGTCTATAGAGTTGGCTCAGCTGTGAAATCTTGGGCACGTCATTGAGACGACATTTGTGAAACTAGAGTGTTGAACTAAAAGAAATCTTGGTGTCTCACTCTGGAAATTCTCTGAGACACATGCAGGAACCTCTCCACCAGAAGAGGCAATAAAGAACATTGGATTTTTGGTCAGGTAGATTTGTGTTTATATTTATGTTCCTCATTTGCGAGGTGTGTGACCTTAGGCCTCTTATTTGGCCAGTCATGCCTCAGTTTCCTTATCTATATATATAAAGCTCTCACTGGTGCCAATTGCACATGTGTGTTTCCATCTGTCATTGTCGATCGTGAGTTTGGTTGACACTTCTATTATAGAGAAAGGGCGAATAGCGATATTAAAATATTTCTTCTAATTAATTTCCATTCAATGTGCATGAACTCGTGCACCGGGCCACTAGTCTGTATAATAACAGACCAACCTTAAAGGGTTGTTGCGAAGATTAAATAAAGTGATGCATGTGTTATGGTCTAACAGAGGCCTGACACAATTCAGGCATTCGGAGCACGTTCAGTAATTTTTAAAAATTACTATTACACTTTTGAATAAAGCTACAAAACCGACTTATGATGGCATTTTAAAATCTTTTTCTGAGTAGCTAAATTCTTGTTAATTTCTAAGGGCACTCTTGGCTATGGAAGCTTTAGGTCATGTTATTATAGCAATGATTTCTTAAAACCACTGCAGACTTACTTATTTAAAGACTGAGGTTAATTATTCCTACAACATAATTGGTGAGCAAATAAAAAAATATTTCAGTTATTAATATTAATCTAGAAAATAGGTTATTACCGCCAGAAAGAAAAAGAGACTACTCCCAAGAAAAGAATTAAGCTTGGTTTGCTTAGATGTTCAAAGGGATGTAGCGAAGATAAATTTTCTAGTACCAAATATATGAAAATTCTGGAGCTATTGAAGGAATACTGTGGGAAGCGTTGGGCATCCTTAGGACACTACAGCTGAGACAGAGTCCTGTGGCCTGGCAATGCCAAGGAGCTCAAACAGGAGCCTCGGGAGTTAGGCTGGCAATTGACTCCTGCCTTTCTGTGATTCAAAGGGCCCTACTGGTGGTATTGTGTCAAAGCAGTAAATTCCTGAGAAGAGAGATACCATTTGAAAGAGTACCTCAACTTACCAAAATAGTGCTAAATAATATTTATTTAAGCCCTCCTATGCCAAAAAATTCCCCTGACAATAATTTGGACATTGTCATACAATTTAATGTATGCTTTCTGTTTTGGAGAAGCCTTTTAAACTTGGCTTCCTGTTTTTATTTTCTAACATGCTGTTTTCAGGGAGAATTTTGGCATAGCTCTCTGCCTTATTTAAGCCTTATGATTCATGTCCAGAGGGATCATTTATCAAAAACAGATGTATAATACATAAGTTATGGGGACTACCCTTAGTATTTATCATTTCTCTGTACATGAGACAATTCATGTGAAAGTACTTTGTAATTAGCAATGATCTTTAAATGTTATTCTTTTAAAATTATTTTTTTTACTAAAAAAATTCTCATCTTTCTCTGCACATATTGGGATCTAATTTGCAGGCTATTCCTGTTATTCACAGACTGCAGTTGATTGATGATGCCTTTTCCCTGTCTAAGTGAGTATATTTTCTTCTCACATGGTTTTAGAGTTCACCTTGAGAATTTATCATTATGAACTTCATCACTATGAAGTTGGTTCTTTAGCATATCCAGGCCATAACTTCTCAAGATTAGGATCAAATTCTGTAGTTATAGTGGAATTTTATTACGTAAAAGTGCCTGGAATGTGCAACAACATGGATGAAACTTGAGGGCATTATGCTAAGTGAAATAAGCCAGTCACAAAAAGAAAAGTACTGTAATATTCCACTTTACAATGAGGTGCTTAGAGTAATCAAAATCATAAAGACTTAAAGCGCAATGGTGGTTGCCAGGGGTTAGGGGAAAGGTGAAAAGGGGAGATATTATTTAATGGGTACAGAGTTTCAGTTTTACAAATGAAAAGAGTTAAGGAGACAGATGATGGTGATGGATGCACAAAATTATGAATGTATTTAATACTGCTGAACTGTACACTTATAAATGGTTACAATGACAAATTTTATGTGTATTTTCCCACAATAAAAGAAAGACAATTTAAAAAGTCCTATAAAGAAAGAGCAATAATGTCTATTACAATTAGAAAGCCACCAAGAAACAATGTTTTTTGTTTGTTTTTTATTTATTTATTTATTTATTTATTTCTTTAATTAAATCTTTATCGTTCAGATTATTACAGTTGTTCCTCTTTTTCCCCCCATAGCTCCCCTCCACCCGGTTCCCACCCCACCCTCTGCCCTTACCCCTGCCACCCACTGTTCTCATCCATAGGTGTACAATTTTTGTCCAGTCTCTTCCCACACCCTCCACACCCCTTTCCCCCCGAGAATAATCAGTCCACTCCCTTTCTATGCCCCTGATTCTATTATATTCAATGGTTTATTCTGTTCATCAGATTATTTATTCACTTGATTTTTAGATTCACTTGTTGATAGATGTGTATTTGTTGTTCATAATTTGTATCTTTACCTTTTTCTTCTTCCTCCTCTTCTTAAAGAATACCTTTCAGCATTTCATATAATGCTGGTTTGGTGGTGATGTACTCCTTTAGCTTTTTCTTATCTGTGAAGCTCTTTATCTGACTTTCAATTCTGAATGATAGCTTTGCTGGATAAAGTAATCTTGGTTGTAGGTTCTTGCTATTCATCACTTGGAATATTTCTTGCCACTCCCTTCTGGCCTGCATAGTTTCTGTTGAGAAATCAGCTGACAGTTGTATGGGACTCCCTTGTAGGTAACTGATTGTTTTTCTCTTGCTGCTTTTAAGATTCTCTCTTTGTCTTTTGCTCTTGGCATTTTAATTATGATGTGTCTTGGTGTGGTCCTCTTTGGATTCCTTTTGTTTGGGGTTCTCTGCGCTTCCTGGACTTGTAAGTCTATTTCTTTCACCAGGTAGGGGAAGTTTTCTGTCATTATTTCTTCAAATAGGTTTTCAATATTTGCTCTCTCTCTTCTTCTGGCACCCCCATAATTCGGATGTTGGTATGCTTGAAGTTGTCCCATAGGCTCCTTAAACTATCTTCATATTTTTGGATTCTTTTTTCTTTTTGTTTTTCCGGTTGGGTGATTTTTGCTTCTTCGCATTTCAAATCTTTGACTTGATTCTTGCGATCCTCTAGTCTGCTGTTGGAACTCTGCATAATATCCTTTATTTCAGTCAGTGTATGCTTAATTTCTAGTTGGTCCTTTTTCATAACCTCGAGGGTCTCACTAGATTTCTTGAGGGTCTCACTAAATTTATTGGCGGTTTCTAGAAAATTCTTGAAAAACCTTATAACCGGGGGTTTGAACTTTATATCCAGTAGTTTGCCGTGGTTTTGAACTTTATATCCAGTAGTTTGCTTTCCTCCATTTCTGTCATTTGTGATCTGTTTCTTTGTCTCCGCATTTTTTATGCTTCCCTGTGTTAATAGAGTGGCTTTCTGTGTTAGGTGTCCTATGGGGCCCAGTGGCTCAGCCTCCCCAATTACCTGAGGTGGACACTCTTGGTGCAACCCTTTGTGGGCTTTGTGCACAGTCTTGTTATAGTTAAGCCTTGATTGTTGTAGGTGTCACTGGGAGGAATTGACCTCCAGGCCAACTGGCTGTGAGAATCAGCTGTGTCTGCAGTGGGAGAACTTCTGAGCTGGAGACACTCTCCTGGGGCAAGACTTGCTTCAGTGGGGCTTTGGTGCTCACTGAGTCTGCCCCCTGAGTGTGTCCCTTATGGATATGAGGAGTTGTAATCTGGATGGTCCCACTCTGACAACTGGGTACACTGGCTCTTGGATCTCTAAGGAGGTGCTAATTTAGCCTCTGCCTGAGGCTACCCAGCAGGAGCTACAGAGAGATCTGCAGATTCCTCTTCTTTGTTTGGGGTTTGGAGGTGCCCAGATGAGGCCCAGCTGTGAAGCAATGCAAGCTGCTGTGGGGCCTTAGACCAGCCGTGGGCAAACTACGGCCCGCGGGCCGGATCCGGCCCATTTGAAATGAATAAAACTAAAAAAAAAAAAAAAGACCGTACCCTTTTATGTAATGATGTTTACTTTGAATTTATATTAGTTCTCACAAACACTCCATCCATGCTTTTGTTCTGGCCCTCCGGTCCAGTTTAGAACCCATTGTGGCCCTTGAGTCAAAAAGTTTGCCCACCCCTGCCTTAGACCTTCTTTTGGAAGTTCTTGGTCTCTCTGATTCAGCTGCAGTTTGTTAGGTAATTTTCAGATTGCAAAGGGCCAGGCCTTTCATATGCAAAAGCCTCTGTTCACAGCTTGGGTGGGGTGGGGTCTCAGTGGATCAACAGGGCGGAGCAAGCAGCTATGGCTGCTCCCCAGTCCTACCCTAAGAGGCCCCGCATCTCAGTGTCCCGCGGTAATCGCTGCAATTACCTCTGAGAGAAAGCCGCCCTCGAGTTCTGCCCAATGCCAGACAGTCCATTTTCTCCCCGTATGAGTCTGGGTCCCCAGAGACTCACCCGGAACTGGAGTTCAGAGCAGTTGGGAGCTTGAGACTCCCTCCCGATTGAAAAAGACAACCGCGTCCTCAGCTGCCAGCCCTCTCCACGTGCGCCGTGTCCTCAGCTGCCAGCCCTTTTGGCGTGCGCCTCCTTACCTCTGCACTTTACTTCCACACCTCCTCTGAGTCTCAGTGCTTTTCTCTTTCCTTCTAGTTGTATAATTTCCACTCAGCCAGCCTTCCTGTAGTTCTGGATGATGTCCGTTTTGTCTTTTAGTTGTATTTTTGAAATGGTTGTGCGAGGCAGCAATTTCCGGTGTTTACCTATGCTGCCATCTTGGTTTCTCTCCAAGAAACAATGTTTTGAGAGAAAGAATATGTTCTTCTCAAGTCAAACCTTGGGATTCAATTATAATCAAAGTCCTATATATTTTCAATTAAGTTAACTTTGGTATAATAAGATTTAAACTAATTATGGAGAATTTTTAAAGGGTTTTAAAAGAATAGCAAAGATAACTCAATGTTTTGAAAGAAACACCTTAAAGGAAAAGCTTGAAAAGGATGTAGTAGAGATGATATAAAGAGAAAAAAGATAATAGTGCTTAAATATTTATAGGCTTATTATAAAAAGCATAAGAACCATTATTTTTAAAGTATCAATCAGGAATAAAAACTTAGGTAAATTACAAGTGATTCAAGCTTACCTTTGTAAACTCTAGTAAATGTTAAAATGGATAAATTTAGGAAGATTGTGTTCATATTTTTCTGTGATATTGAGTGTTAAGGAAATAAAGTAGCTGTCATCTAAAAAACGAGTTGCTGGAAATAGACTTAAAATTTTGAAGTGATTTATAATACCTGACGATGATGGCTGTAGGTATAATATTAATGAGTTACGCCATGTATTTTAACATATTGCAAAATTATTGATTTTATTTATATCATCCTTATTCATTATGATATAAATAAAATGTGACATATATATAAAAGCAGCTGGTAAGTATTTGACCAGGCAAATTAATATATGTTCAGAATTTAAATTTTCAGACAATAAAATTAAGGAGTATACATAATAAATTATTTAGTGTGCTCACTCTCTCTTTGGCTTGTCCTATTTTTTGAATGAATGTCTGCTTATTTTATCTTTTATTTCTTTACTACTTTTCCCCTCTGTAACCTGCAGCATACTTCCTTGCTCACTACTTTGTTGAAACTCCTCTCTGAGATTACCCTGACTTTGGTACTGTTGACCACATCCTCCTGGAAACTTCTTTACTGGCTTCCTGAGACTTCAATATGCAAACGTGGTTCTCCTCATGTATCTGGCTTCTCTTCTTCTTGCTGCTGTGAGCATCCTAAGACCAGTGATGGTTGTGTTATTTTTTTCTATCTTCCCTTTGGATAATGCATTCATTTTTAAAATTTCAGTGATTTTATTATGTACATGTACAGTGCCTAGAAGATATAAGGTACTCAATAAATGTTTGTGGAAGATATGTTGATGACTTCTAAACCTACTTGTCTCTCCCTGTCTTCTATTTATCCTGTGGTCATTTAAATTCAGCACCTGAGACACTGAACTTTATTTGTCTCTAAACTGCTCCTGCTATCATTTTTTCTCTCTGTCAAAGGTTCCACTATTCTTCCCATCACCCAAACTTGCAACATAAGAGATATCCTGAACTCCTGCACATTTCCCAAATAGTCACCATGTCTTATCTATTCATTCCTGGAAAAGTCTTTTGGATTCTCACCTTACTTACTACCTTCACTGTTTCCATACTAAGCCAAGCTTTCATTGTCTTTTGCTTGGCCTATTGCATTAGCTTCTCGCCTTTAGTGCCTTTGAATTCCATTCTATCTTCTTGAGCCCAATTATAATAAAATTTTTAGGCATCACCTTCATGATGGTACCCAGGTATCTAAACATCTTCCCACCACATGTAAATTTTATAACCTAACATTCATGGCTCTTCACAGTTTTGATTCACCTTTCCTATTAGGCCCCACCTTTCAACTATACACAAAAGAAATTCTCTGCTTCGGTTAGCTTGGTCTGCCCATCATATTAATTCCCAATAATTTTCTTTGTCCTAAACTGTCTTCTTTTTTATTACCCATTTCAATCCTACCCAACCTTCATTGTTCTCAAATTCCTACTCCAGGAGGCGTTCGCTGACTTTTCCATTACATGCGTGTTTACCTTCTTTGCTCCTTTGTTGTATTCATTGCCTTTCTTAGGACCTTTTGTTAACATTTACTTATGCATAAATCTCAGCTCCTCATTGAAGTAGTAAGATCCTCAATAGTAGGAGAGCGTATTGTCCTATATTCTAGTTTGTGCTGGCAGAACATTAGAGAGAGAATGACTTTTAATTAATACTTGTTGAATGGAAACTATGCTCTCATAAGAATGCATACTAAATGCACAAATATTCTTTTGCCCGATAATTAGGCCAATATTGGGCCTGGATTTTCTATAAAATCTTCAGGAATTTGGGTGCACATACCAAACTGAAATGGAGGGTTGATCAACATTGCTTGGTTCCCATCTTATCAATGAGATGGGACCTTTGCCCTCTATCTTCTTGATTTCACATACTTTATAAAGTCAGGCATTGACGCATGGAACAAATATGGAAAGTGTACAAATCATTTTTAGCAAGTGAAGGTTTTTTAGTGTGTGTTTTTAAACCAAACAGAAACAATTATATTGAGATTGAAACAGCACTTGATTTAACCAAGTACCTTGCTGAAGAAGATGAAATCATAGTATGGCATACAGTCTTGGTGAACCTGCTACCCAGCAATTTTGTTTCTGATGTGGGCAACTATGATACATACACATTATTAAAGGTAATTTCATTCTTTGTTTTGTGGTTTAAAAGAATCCATTCTTCCTCATTCTATATTCTAAAGAGCATCTGTGAAACAGGCCTTTCCAAAAGTAGTTTATTTATATATATAACTAATTAATATATACATATTCATTTTTTTCAAGGAATGATTGATTATTCTTAAAAGAAAATACCTTAGTCATAAACCTGGTCTAGGAGATGAGTATGATAGAAGTTTAGAAAGGTCTTTAATTCTCATGGAAGTGGCAATGTGTCCTAAGAAACCAGAAGTGGATAGATATGGTATGCCTTTTTGCTTACAGAAAAGGATAGTATGCATTAGCAACTATTTTCCTAAAAGATTGTTAATCAAACAGAATGACTTTTTACAATCCTATATGCATAAGTGAGATGCTTTGATTTACAGGGCCAGCACTTAAAACCAGAGAAGTGAGTTCCAGAAAAAGTAACGTTTCAAAGCTGCTTTTGATGTTGCGAAGAGAGTGAGGGAAATTAGACTTAATGACTAAAGACATAACATGCCATCATAACTGAAACAATATAAAAGGAGAAAAGTTCCATCATTCGGTTTTAAACAGTGATCATAAGAAAGATAGCACAGGTAGAATCAAAGCCTAAGTTAGGGAGCAAACCTTTGGAGAGTTAAGGGCCACAAACAAACTGGAAAGTAAGTTAGGTGAGGATTCCAAGTGAGTTGCTGAGGCAGTTTGAGGCTGAAATCATAACTACCTCAGGGTTCCATACTTTCTTGTCTCTACTGTCCAAAGTGCTGGGGAAACTTACTGGAATGTGGGATTGGTGACCAATAGAAGGCACTTTAATATTTGTGGGATCAAGGAAACTCGTTGATTATATCTGATGACTGGGTTTGCATAAATAAGTAAAAACTAATATTTGTTTTTAAAGAATTTCAATGAATACATGTAGTATTTCAATACAGGAATGTATAACTTTTATAATCTTATTATTTACTTCAGATTCAGGGCTTAAATTGTTTGAGACATAAATCAGTTCTTATTTTCTTGGAGGTTTATATATTAAACATGGAATTTTTAAAATAGAAAGTTTAAGTTTTAAATTTTTATACTTTTTTCTCATTTTTTATGATAACCAGAAATGAATAGGATCATATTAAGTTATAATAATAGCTAATATTTATTGACTTATTTGCCAGGCAGTATGCTTACATACATTATATTATTCAGTCTTCACAAAACTATAATAATGGTGTTATTGTAAACCTTGTTTTGTGCGAGAAAACTGAACCTATGCAGGCTAAAAAATAAACCAGTTACACATTACTAACAAATAAAAACCATTTCTGAAGACATATCTGTCATTATTAATGTCTCTTCAGATAAAGAGAAATGCAATGCAAATTCAGTGTTGCGAGCTAGACTAACAGTATATTTTCTTTATTGTTTATAGAAGTATCTATTAAAGAGACTGACCTCAATATGGAATCATTATTCAACTATAATTCGTGAAAATGTGACAGCATTGCAAGATGACTATTTAGCTTTGTAAGTATTTTGAATAGTAATAATTGCATAAAATTATTCATATTAATAAATAGGCTTCCATACTTACATCATAACATCTTAATACCTATGATTCACTGAGAGATTTTTATATACTATTTTAGGACAGTAGCTTTGAGATTGATGAGCTACATGTATCCTAATAGGAAATAATAGTTTGGGATCTTAATTTACCCACAAAGCACATATGTGTATACACAGAAAATTTTAAAAATATATATTTTTTATTGTTGATATTATTACAGATATCTCCCATTCCCCCCCCTTTAACTCCCTCCTCCTAACCCCTACCTATACCCCCCAGGTACCCTATTGCCTGTGTCCATGGGCTATGCATATAAGTATATAAGTTCTTTGGTTTATCTCTTCTCGTTCTCCCAATGCACATTGAGGTATGTTAGTCTGTTCCATGCCTCCATGCTTCGGGTCTTATTTTGTTGGTTAATTCATTTTGTTCATTAGATTCCACAAATAAGTGACATCATGTGACATTTTATACAGGAATTTATAGCTCTGTATTCTCAAATCTTACTGGTTGAAATTGTAAGTATGTCATACTAATGGTGAAGGGCTGTGCTAAGCAAAGTCAGCCTATCCCAGTGAATTAAAGGGCATGGAAAAGGGGCCCCTCTGTATATTACTGGCGACAGAAATTCTATCACTGTGCAAATTTTATGAGAGGTTGACAGTGAAATATATCAGTCATTGTGTATGATCATAAGTGTTATAAATGATTTTCAAATCATTGATTTGGTGAGAGAAGTAAGCACATTGTCATAATGACCCAGGAAGGGGGTGAAAGGCAAAATACAGCTCTGCTGTCGCCGGCCTCCCTGTGACCCAAGGCCATGTGTGTATGCTGGGCTTCTAGATTTAGGGAGGGAGTTTGTGATCAGCTATGGTACAGGGATTATATTTACAGCACTAGTCACATCAACTTTAAATCAATTAGACCAAACAAGAAATACAAAGCATACAAAATGTGATTATTAACTCTCATGAGTATCCTTCTGAGAGAGGAGAAAATTTTAGTGCTAGGACCTGTGACTAGAAGGACATAGGGTTAAATGGACAAGTAGATTGAAGATGGGGAGGACTGGTTGGAATAGTGAATGTGTAGGCATGTGTGAATAAACAGGAAGGCAAAAGTGTGCTCAAAAATGCAGGCATGGCCCTAACCGGTTTGGCTCAGTGGATGGAGCATCAGCCTGTTGCCTGAAGGGTCCCAGGTTCGATTCTGGTCAAGGGCTCATGCCCCAGTTGCAGGCTCCATCCCCAGTGTAGAGCATGCAGGAGGCAGCCAAACAATGATTCTTTCTCATCATCGATGTTCCTATCTCTCTCTCTCCCTCTCCCTTCCTCTCTCAATTCAATAAAAATATATTTTAAAAAAACACACGAAGGCAGCACACCTGTTAACTAGCCATAACCTTGGATTAGTTAATTGGACTGAAGTGACCTGCTTTTTGGTAGCATCCCAAGACGAGTTCTCTGCAGCCGGCTTGGGATGGGTGGGGAGGGACAGTGTGTATATAAATGAATGCTCAGAGCTGTCTTTCAGAAGGCCTCCACCCTTGGACATTCCACTTCTGCTTATCAGAGAGTCAGGTCAAGCTGAGTTGAAACTAGAGGGTGGAGGAATAGAGATTTGGCTCTTGCATTTTCTGGAACTTTATGGCCACTTTGATTTCCTTTACCTTTTACTTCAAACTTGGGGAGAGCAGGGAGATACACCCCACGCACCGCTTATCTGGATTTATAATTGTTCTTCACTGTATTCGTTTGAACTTATTTGTTTTGAACCATAATGTGTACCCCTTCTCAGCTATAAAAACAAAACAAAACCTCTATCCTTTTTCTGGCCATAAATATAATAGCCAGGAGGAGTTGAAGAAGAAACAGAAACTTAAGCAAGGAAAAGCACATGGTTGAAAGAGAGAAATAAACCATTCCTTTCCATGTAGAAAGGACTTTCTTTTTATGAGTATTAGATCAAATACTCTAAAGTCATTTTTTATCCACAAGGCAATTATTATAAAAGGGAGGAAAAGTAAATTGATAACAGATGTGGAGTCTGTGTACACCATGTGTGATTGAGGGAGATAAAGGATGGCAGTAATTTATTTCTAACTTTTCAAAAAATACCAGTCTTAGGAGCTTATTTGGTGCCTGACAGGCTCTCAGAAAACATTTCTCTGAATCTTAAACACGTTTGTTATCCACAAAAGCTTTTTTTCTTTTTTAGCAAACTTGATGTTATTGGAAGGATGTTTTAAAATACCCATCTTTTTATGAAACATATTCTTGGAGGGAGAAAAAAATAATGTGGTAATGCAAAATAAAATGTTTTCCTTTGTTCCTTCAAGAATATCGCTGGAAAAACTTTTTGCGAGTGTGTGTTTCTTGGGCCTTGAGGACTGTCTTCAGCTGTCAAGAGAACTCTTCAAAAACTGGATGGACAATCCAGAGAATGAGTAAGATAAATACTGCAATTGCCCTGGTCTTTGTCCTGTTTCAACACCAGCAATCTTTCTACCTTTTTGATGCTCTCACTCTGGGAATGATTGTTTTGTTTTCACTTGGTTAATCTCTCCTACTATTTTATTCAAGTATCTTTCTTTTAAAAAAACCTGTCTAATGTAGGTCTGTTCATAACAATAGATTAGAACTTATACAGCGATTGTCACTCAGGATCTATCATTGCCTGTGCATTCCCTATAAGCACTTATGCTTATTTTGAGTCTTATTTAGGTTGTTCTTTATTATATACATACATACATCAGAGCAACTCTTTTTTTTTCTATTCGTTTGCCGTCTCTCAGAGAGCTGAGGCTAAGACTCTATTAATATATCACCTCAGATGTACTGTTAGGAAATGTGATAGTAAGATATGAAACCAAACTTATCAGCATATACTTACCATTTGTACTACTCTAATTTATTTCTCCCCTAAACCCCTTTCTAAACTAATTTGACAGTCTCATCTCATCATGGTAGCACTAATGATAGTTCCCACAGTTGCCTTTCTAGATCCCTACTTTTGCTCTCTATATCTGAGATCACAACATTTTTTTTCTAGCTACATAGTTCTAAATATATGACAACCCATAAACACAAGTAACATGTTTATAACTCAACTACTATGAGAAATATCATTTCATGTTATACTTTACAGAATACCTTATCCAATTAAAACTGTGATTTTATGTTACGGCATTGCCTCGGGAAGTGATAAAGAGTGGGATTTTTTGTTAAATATCTACGCCAATAACACAAATGAAGAAGAAAGGAATCAACTTGCTTATGCATTGAGCTGCAGTAAAGACCCATGGATACTTACCAGGTGATTATGGACAACTTACCTTGAAAGTTCCTGGTGGAAGAGTGCAATTAATAAACCAAAGGGAGAAAAATATCACTGTGCTATGATAACAATTAATAAATATTTGTGCATCATTAACTTGGAATCATATGGGATTTTGATTCCATTTATTTAAATTAACTTCTTGTATTGGATACTTTTTACATATTTATTTTCTGCAAATGCATTTTTACAGATATATGGAATATGCCATCACTACATATTCATTCAATTTTAATGAAACAAATATAATTGAAGTTGTGGCAGCATTTGATGTTGGCCGCTATGTCGCAAAAGACTTTTTAGTCAACAATTGGCAAGCTGTGAGTGAAAGGTAAGAAAAGGATGCGAGACCACTCTTTCATTTAGGTCATGAGTTTGGTGCTAGAAGCACAGATTCAGCCTGGCTAGGTCACAAACGTCCTCTGCACTGACTAGAAAAGGCATTTAGCTTCACCATAAACTGGTCGTGTTATGGAAGAGAAGGTCACTTGTCTTCCGTTTTGGCTTTCTGAATAAAGATAGATTTGCATGGGATAGTTTTATACCACAGTTTCCCTATTGTGCCCGCTCAGAAGTTTGAAAGCGAGATTAGAGCAAGTCACATTTCCTTGGTGCATGTACATCACCCTTCGTTTATTTTGTGAAGTGCATCACCATGTCTTTATGAAACAACAACGCCCATCATTACATCAGCCTGGATGTTGCTTGTGTGCTTTACTTGTCAGATTCCCTTTTATATGCCTGGATTCCATAGTCTTGAACTTTTTAATATTTCTCATAATTTAAGACTAATCTGCTTGCTTCCTAGCCCACCTATTGGGTAACATATACATTGGCATACAAATATCAGACAGCAGGCCCTGGATGGCTGGTTTTTCTAGAACATTACTTCATAATCACATGCTATAGAGTGAGCAGATTCGAAGTAGCCAACAGTTCAGGTACAAGCAACTGTAAAGTTGAAAGCTACATTGTATAAATAAGTTCTTTTGAAACAAAGTATTTTTAGCATAAAAATGTTTAAGAATGTGAATATGGTTCTCTTAAAGAGCAAAATAATGGAATGGGGTGCATTTTTTTGGTTGTGTGTGTGTGTGTGTGTGTGTGTGTGTGTGTGTACATTTATTGAGCACCCATACAACACCAAAAAATGTAGTTTTAAATCAGAAAATGAAAATGTGTAGATAAAAGCTTATTTGTACAGTACCATTACAGGCTCATCAGTGGAATTTGAGGAAATTGTCTTTATCTCCTGCTTTAAATTACTTATCATTCTAGGTTTATTGCTTCAGAGGGTGTTATAAATTCCTTAAATTTCCTGGGATCCCTAAGACCTTTGGGATAAATGGTGTTTTCATTTTTGCTTAAGTTGTTAAAGATAATGCCCTCCTTCCTAGGTCCTACTTCTCACTGGGAATTCGGCTATAAATCAGAATTATGTCCACAGGTCCCCTTGTTCCATGAGGTTTCAGAGATGTGCCCACCCCCTAGGGTTGTATCTTTTCTCTTTCCCTGGAGTTTGTAATAAAAACTTCACCCCATGTTCACTGTAGGTCTGAAATGCCTGCCTTTTCACCTGCAATCCTACTATGCACTATAAATGTTCATGTAACCAAAGTATCCTTTTGCTAGTAGATCAGTCCTATCAGGATAAACACAGATGAGAAAGTAACTTATCCATTTGACTTTGGGTGGTGAACACACAATACAGTGTACAGATGGTGTGTTATGGAATTGTGCACCTGAAACCTGTATAATTTTGTTACCAGTGTCACCCCAATAAATTCAATACAAAGGAAAGAAAAAGAAAATAAGTTCTCTAACCCTCTCATTTGGAACTGGAAGTGGAACATCTATTTATTGTTTGTCTATGAACATTTAGGCCTTAGTTTCCTCTTCTCTAAAATGAAAGACATGTATTTATTAATTCTAAAGTTCTTTCTAGTAATAAAGTGTTTTGGTTTTACTCTGATAAGACACAGTTTCAGCTGTTGTTGGGGATATAAAGTGATTAGAATGTGGAGATGGAGACAGAGAGGGCTTTGGGGACTCAAAGGGAAGGAAGGGAATTGAGTGAGGTTTGAACAGGCAGATTTGGAAAAAGTCACCTTCCACATGGAAGGACTAAAAGACTGACTTGGAATGAGTCACATCCCTGGCTGGAGCTTGGGGCTCTGGAAACGGGGAGACAGGGGAGGTCACGGGGTTGAATTGAGCACACTGCCAATAGAGGTTCAGGAACATCTGCTCCCCTCGACCACGCCCAGGACTCTTCTCAGGAGGCCCAATCTGAAAATACATTTTGGAATATTTGCTTGAGTAAAACATCTTCAGCTTGCTCCTGCTCCTCCCTCCCTTGTGCAGACACTGCACTGGTCTCTGAGGGGTAATTATTTAACTGTTGGACCAAGATGTTCCTTTGAGCACTGATCTAAATGAAGGAACCTCCACTGACCATAAAGACATCTTTCAGGTTACAGGAAAATCAATATGTACATGTAGATGTGGGTAGATTCTATGGAAGAATGTGTGGATAGGGATGGAACACCAGAATTTTTGTGATCTTTTATTGTATGTGGTAGAAGTTATATTTGTGCCCTTATCACCCTTGTTAAGTTGCTTTTAGCTTTCTTAAGACAATGTGGATTTCACAGCCAACAGGAAAACGCTAGTTTTGTTTGAATATAGACTATAAGGTATAATCAGTTTCAAACTCAACTGGCCCAAAATGAATCTTCACTTTTCCTTATCAAACACTCGATTTCTCCTCCAAATATTGTTATATTGCCTAGAGTCCTAAGCTTGAAACCTGCACTTATTTTCACTTCCATTCTGTTGTATTTTATGATGGAGAACATGGAGTGGAAAAGGTTAAGTGGGAGCACAAGGGAACTGCATGAGTTGAGATGTGGTTGGAGTGGACCCATTCCCATCACCTGCCACTGGATTGGGCTGGATGCCTTGGTGCCCCATGCTTGCCTGGTGGCCATGCTTGCCACAGGAAGTCAGACATGGCAGGGGAAGGGAGAGGAGAGAAGGAGAAATGTGAGAAAGGAAAGAGGCAGAATGTAAGCCAAACTAGAATACCCATATCACTGTGTCCACACTAGCATTGAATGTTATCAGTATTTTTTAAAGGGTAACCATGCTGACACCCACTGGCTCCTGTCTTGATATTAATTAGAATGCATTTGACTACGGGGGAGATAAACTACTCATAAAGGATGTATTTTTGTTTAATATTTCAAAGAGATTGCTCTCGCAACAAGAGTGACAAATCCTCTCTGTCTCAAAAATATCTCCGCTTGAAGCTTGCAAGACCAGGAAGGAATAATGTGTGCCAGGTGCTCTGATAGATGCCACAACATACATTATCTCATTTACTCTCCAGAACAATGCTTCTAACTATATGTTATTCCTCATTTCTGCAATTTATGAGTTGCCCAAGGTAACTTCAAATTGGGCCTCACCTGTTGGGGTAACCTTTCTTCTGGATCCGGTAGAAAATCCCAGTTAGCACCTTATGTAGTTTTCCACTTTTTTTTTTTTAAGCTTGGGACTTGGTTCTTTGCAAATTTTGCCAAGTTTCTTGAGTCATCTCACAGGCTTTTCATACCTGGCCAATAAAAATGAAAAATAAGAAATTTTTCCACTTTCCCCACAGAAACAAGTTTGCTTGTCTGAATTACATGTAGACTGTCTCTTGTCCTCTACTTTGCTCAAGTAAACACAGTTTACACTATAGCTGGAGATCTAAAAAGAACAAAAGCACTGTTTTCTCTTACCCTTGTTTGTGTAGTATGCCAACATTAACTCTTATACTTTTTAATTTCAAGTATACATTTTTGAAATAAATTGTGTGTATAATTATCAAGCCAGTTCAACCATTTCTTATTCAGTCTATATTAACCCTATCTTAATTTTCTTTCTTTTTTAATGCATCCAAAAGTCTTTATTTACTTTTATAACTACAGCACCACTTTGGGCAGGTATGTATCTGTTCTTTCTCTACAGCAACACTTTATGGCTTTTTTTTTTTTTAGATGATTCTCATTGGGTATCAGGGGCACTAAACTAAGGAGGAAGTTTCAGTGACCACGCTTGTTTGAGGGAATGTAAATAGCGTAGAGCCAGGTACTTAGCCTTGAGAATCTCAGATGATATGGATCCTCTTCCCAAAAAGCACATACAAATACAACATTTTTAATGAGCTTTCAGTGTATTTTAATCAGAGTTAAAAAAAAAACACCACACAAATATAAAAAAACCACTGTTTTTAAGGGACATAATTTGCATATTTATTTACTCCCTTACAAATTTTCTTAATTTGAGGTATGTGACAGCTATTCTAACCACCTCATTTAAAAAGATAAAAACAGTTGACATTGTTATTGTTTTTAAGAAGAGTTTTTTTTACATTTAAGTGAACTAAAAACTATGTGTTACACAAATCAGTATTTAAATATAAATATTTTTAGTGCTAATAGAATTTTTTATTGATTTTAAAGAGATAGGAAGGGAGACATCAATTTGTTGTTCCATTTATTTATGCATTCATTGGTTGCTTCTTGTATGTGCCCTGACTAGAGATTGAACCTGCAATACTGGCATATTGGGTTGATGCTCTAACCAACTAAGCTACCTGGCCAGGGCTAGAATTTTTTATATAATAGATTTTCTATTAAAAGATGAGGGTAAACTAATTCATACATGTTTTCTTTTAGATGTTGGAGATAGAAATTAAAAGGGGCTATATACTTAGCATTTATCTGGCAAATAAAATATAGCTTTGTCTTGCAAAACATTTCCCAACCCTGATTAGCATCTTGTTGCTTTGCAGGTATGGAATACACTCATTGGTTACTATAATGTATTTAATAGGGAGAACCATAAGTACAGATTTACAGGTCATGGAGGTAAGTACTTTAGATATTATGAATTATAAGTTGGAAGCCACTTTTTTGTGTCATTTAGAGTTGCTAAAATTAAAATGCTTATCTGAATTATAACATTCTATGCTTCCATTGGTGCTGTCATAACTGTACATGAAATGTTTTTTAATTCTATCTTGCTCTTGAGGGTTGGACATCATTCTTTCTCACCTGAATTACTTCAGTAGACTCTGGCCCAAGCTCCCTGGCCCAGGCTGGGCTTGCCTCCATCCATTCTGCAAATTGCTACCAGCCATTGCCCTGTTCCCAAAGCTTCAGTAGCTTATCAGTTTTTAGGAAATTTTCAAATCTTTTCATTAACTCACGAAGCCCTTAATAATCTGGACCCTGCCTTACCCTCTAGCTTCATTTTTGCCCAGCTCACCACTGAGTATCTGAAAGCAAGAGACAGACCACCCCCAAATACGTTTCCTCTAGCTATACTCCACCACATACAGATTTTCTGAAATTATTAGGTTGTTTTACATTTTCTAGATTTCAGAACCCTGTCCTTGACTAGATAATTCCTAATCATCCTTTAAGACCCTGCTCCAACCACCTATTCCAGGAATTTTTAATGAACCGATTTATACCTGTCCTTCCTCCATACTCCCAAATCATCTCATCAATATCTTTATTACAGCACTTACCACATTATACTGTAATCAGCGTGTGCATACGTCTACTCTATGAGGGTAAAATAAGCTCCCTGAGGACAGAGACCATATTTTAATTATAACTGTATTCTAGAATCTAACGTGGGGCTTGCTGTTTCTAGCGTCTGCTTTCCTCTGGGCTGAATTTCTTCTTAGGCAGGCTTTCTTCACATGGAGGCAAACATAGGTCCAGGCTTACATGATCCTTAGCATCCTCAGTTGTAGAAAAAGGAATACCTTTTCACCCAGCTTCAAGTTCCAGTCCTGAAGGCAGAACTCTGATTGGTCCTACTTGGCTCACATGCACCAATCACCGTGTCCAGGGGGAAGGAAATACTCTGATTGGCCTAACCTGGGTCATTTGCCCACATTTGGAACCAGCCCCACCCAAACCACAGACACTGAGATAGGGAAGGAGTAGTTCTGGAAAGAAAAGGGAAATCCTATAACCACAAGGTAAACTGAGTGGCAAAAGCAAATGTCTACAAAAAAGCAACACACAAAGTAAAACAAGAATAAAATATAAATACAACCTCTACACACCCAGCAGCATAGGTAAAATGAGAAAGATTGACAATACCAAAGGTTGGCAAAGATGTAAAGCAACTGGAACTCTTACCCTACTGGTGGGACTGTGACATGGAAACTACTTTGGAAAACAGACAGTATCTCTAAATGTTAATTAGACACATGTGACCCAACAATTCCACTTTAAGGTTTTTACTCAAAAGAGATGGAAACCTATGTCCACACAAATACTTGTACATGAATGTTCCCAGCAGCTTTATTCACATTAGCTAAAAACTGGAAACCACCCAAATGTCCATCCATAGGTGAATGGACAAGGAAAATGCAATATATCCACACAATGGAATTCTACCCCACAATTTAAAAAAGGAACAATTTTGTGTAGCAACATGGATGAATTTCAAGATGATTGTCCTGAGCAAAAGAAACCAGAGACTTTCTAGGAAATGCAAACTGATCCGTAGTAACTGAAGGTAAATCAGTGGTTGCCTGGGACAGAGGGAGGGATGACCTGAAAAGGGCAGGAAGAAACTTTTGTGGGCCGTGGAAATGGACTGTATCTTGATTGTGGCTATGGTTTCACAGGTGTATACAGAGATCCAAACTCGACTTGTATGCTTTAAAGCTTATGTATATAAATTTTATCTCAATAAAGTTGATTACAAGTAAAAAAAAATACGTGAGTAAAAATTAACTATGGCCTGGAACTATATTAATAAAAATAGGAAGGGCCTGTGTAAATAAGAAAGGAAAATCAACTCCCTGCCCCAGCAAGTAAACAAATAAATGTTTAGGATATAAGGTCTGAAATTTGATCCTGAGCAAGAAAAAAAGAAGCAGTCAGTTATGTAGTTGTTATAAAGAGAGAGAGGAAGAACTGCTAATTCCTGGAGGAATTAGCTTTGTTTCAGTTTGGCTTGCCTGAAGATGAACTGTCAGGACCTGATTTATCAGGGATTCCCTGGATCAGAGAGTAAAGGGCACACCCCGTTGAGTCTTCTAAAGTGTATCAGTTTATTTTTGTAGTTTATCTCTACAGAACCCAGTAAAATTTTATTGTTTTACCCAGTAAAATTTTATTGGTTTTCATTTTTAATTTTTATTGATTTTTAGAGAGGAAGGGGTGAGGGGGAGAGAGAGAGAGAGAGATTGGTTGACCCCTGCATGTGCCCCAACCGCGAATGGAACCTGTCTGTCACCTTTTGGTGTCTGGGATGATGCTCCAACCAACTGAGCCATACTGGCCAGAGCTTGTTGTTGTTGTTTAATGAATGAAGGTTGTATAAATTTAGCAGTCTTCAAAGTTCCAAAGCTCTATAGTCACTGATAGTTTATTTAAAACTAGAGGCCTGGTGCACAAAATTCGTGCATGGGTAGGCCCCCTAGGCCTGGCCAGTGATCAGGGCCGATCGGGGCCTTTGGCTGCCAGCCGGGACCTCCCTTCTCTAGCTGCCGGCTGCTGGCGAGGGCCTTCCTTCATTCCACGTCACCCCCTGGTGGTCAGCACACGTCACAGCAAGCAATTGAACTCCCGGTCGAACTCCTGAGGGGACAATTTGCATATTAGGCTTTTATATAAAGAGATAATGTAAAAGTGGATTTAGCAGTGATTACATTTTTGCAATTTTGAAAACAAGTTAGCTATTATGAATATCCTTGTCAAAAACCTACTAATGCCCAATAGTCCTCCTATAATGTATTAATTTACATGGTAATATAAAAAATAATTACTAAAAAGAGGATGAAAAGAAAGTCACATGAGTCCCTTCTCCTTCTAGACCAGCACAGTTCCTATATACTCTTTGCTTCTCTTGCTCTGTTCCTTATACACTACCCTGTTGGAGCCTGGCCGCACTCATGCTCTCAAGCACACATGAAGCCCCCCTACAATGTCATGGACCCTACTCCTCTCCCACTCACTGCAGGTGCATGATCATATGGGGTTGTGGGGAGGTGGATTCCACTGCCTGGTAGGTATGGACAGGTGTGGAAGAGGGTGGGAGGTTCTGGTTCCTTAATCTACTTTTTCCAGAATGTTCCTTTTCTTTTACATTGTAATTAGCCTTGATAACCCTATTACTGCTCAATTTTAAGTGCATTAGGGTTTAAATGACATTTTGTGAGCACAGGTACACTGTGATCTCACATGTGCTAAGTTCTAATTTGTTGATGGAGAAATAGACTAGGAATATAACTAATTAGTCAATTGGCATCTGGCTTGTACATAATATTGCATATGTTCCTATAGCTTAATGCTTGACTTGACTCAATGAAGGAATTTAGCCAATGGACAAATCCGCTATCTAAATATCTATAATAATAAAAGGGTAATATGCTAATTAGACCAGACATCTTCCTGACGTCATTCTGGACATCCTTCCTTACCAAACAGGGGCAGGAGGGAAGCCATCCTGGGTCTTGGGTGCCTGTGGGAAGCCCGAGGAAAGCCAGCCTGGGCCCCAGGTGCTGGAGGGAAGCCGGTGCTGGCAGCCAGGGGAAGGAAGGACTACTCTTGCATGAATTTTTGTGCATTGGGCCTCTAGTTCTTAAATAAAGGATAACATCTATAAAGACACAGATGTTGTGTGCCAGTTTTGAGCTTTGAAAGTTGCAAAGTATTTTTTGAGATAAGAAAAGGTCTCACTCTATCTCTGTCCACAAATTTTGTCTAATAGCTGGTATGCATTCAGTAAATCTTTATTGAACACCTACTAGGTGGTTGGGGAATAGAGCAGTGAATAAAATAGATGAATTTCCTACATCATGGAGCTTCCAGTCTACATCTGACTCTTCAGGGTAGGTGGTCTTCACACATTGCCACCCATTCCAACTGCCATTGGCCATTTGCAAAATCATGTTGCGACTTAGAGTGAACTGTCCTGTTTTGTCTAAATAAGGAGCCAGATTGCCTTGACCGTCTCTTTGTCCTTTCAGCTGCAGCAGTTTTTCAGCCCCATGTTGGAGGAGCACCAGAGGCTCGAAGTTCATGCCAAATTACAGGCAATAAAGAACGAAAATCTGACAAACAAAAACCAAAGTGCCAGGATAGCTGCATGGCTACGGAAAAACACATAATTTAGTGGCCACTTTTGGCATTTCCCCTTGTATATTATACTGTAGTTTGTGGACTGTTTTGTCTTCCAATACTTTGTGAGTCTAGAAAACCACATGTTTTGTTATTTGTATTTCAGTCACATTTATTACTCAGCATCCTGTTCCTCCCTTGTCGTCACGCTGGCTCTGAGCTCACTGATTGCTGAGGAGTTTTCCAGCACTGCTGTGTTTTGGGGGAAGATTTCATTTCAAGTTGGGCTATAAAACCACAAAATTTACTTTAAATGCCTTGTAAAAAACAAATTTACCTTAGAAAGTCTTGCTTATTCTGTTGTGAAGGCCAGTAGAATATTAAATCATTGGCTAAATGAGTACATTCTTTTCTGAAAGAAATACAGATTTGCAATACTCTAGGGTTTATTTAGTTCAACTAGAGGCCCGGTGCATGAAATTCATGCATGGGGGAGGGGTGTCCCTCAGCCCGGCCTGCAACGACACCAGCGTCCCTCGCCCTAGCCCGAGGACCCTCCCCTCCCTTCCCTCCACGCAGCCAGGGCGCAGATGCTGGGCTCACGTTGCCGGGGCGACACCGCCAGCATCCCGCCCCTGCCACTAAGGGCGCCACCATCTTTGTGGCGGAGTGATGCTTAATTTACATATTACTCTTTTATTAGATAGGGTATTTAAAAGAATAATGAGCAAGTAACACAACAGTGTAAAGAAGGAGAACCAGAAGAATAATACCCCCTAGAAATCAGAAAAGCAAGTTTTAAAAAGAAGAAACAGGCAATTTTATGAGCCATGTGATCTGCCCTAAAAGCAGGAAATGTGTCTTGTGCCTCTTTCTCTCTCCCCAGAGTACCTAGGCATTGTGCCACACTTTACTTACTGGCTACTGAATGTATGATGTCACAAAAAGACCCAGGATCACAGGATCCTAAAGTACCTTTAGGCTTGCTGTGTGGAGGCCAGATTGGAGAGGAAGGCTCTGCCTTGAAGCTCTTGACTGTATTTTCCTGTGGGAATGGATATTCTTTTAGCCAAAGTTTATGAGCAAAAATAATATGTCAACAGACAATAGCAATTATGGGCTAATCTTCAGCACAAAGGGAGATGGTCAAATAAAGAGAAATGAAACTAACAGGCTAACCAGAATATACTCTTCACAGCTTTGCACTCAGGGGATTAGTTTGAAATGTGGTTTCATTTGGCCAAATTCAAACTACTTATAGTTTGGACAACTTTAAACATTTTCATCAGTCACAATGTATGGAATTAGATTAGTTTTATTATCCCTGATAAAACCAGGACAGCTAAGGCAAATCACCCTATCTGATTTAATACTGTGCTTTAATTTTGATTTTGTAGAATGGGGATTAAACTACAAATCTCCTATCTACCTCAGAGCGATATTGTAAAAACTAAGGAATATGTCAACGAGAGGTCTTTAAATATCTAGAGTAATAAAAGTGTAATATGCTAATTAGATCAGATGTCCTTCCGGACGACCTTCCAGACAAAGCCGTGGTGGCAGGGGCCAAGGCAGAGGCAGCTGCCATGGTGTAGGGGGCCAAGCCCCTTGCACGAATTTTGTGCATCGGGCCTCTAATGTTATATAAACTCAAGACAGTGTGATTTAAGGTTTTATTCCCTATTTCTTATATAAGTTAATGCAGCCACAAATTAAAATGTTATACAAAAATTCACTTGCATATTTGCTTCATAAGAAGATGCTCCCTGAGTGCGAGTGGAGGCTATGAGACAACCATGAGGACAAACCAATGCACATTCTACTCAGATTTGACCATGGGTCACAGCTCAGAAAATTTTTCCTTGAAATTTAGAAATTTAAAATTAAAGCAATAAAATATCCCCATGTTTTCACATCATTGTGTATGAGATATCTTATGTTTCCTTAAGCATTCTTTCTATATTTCCTTTTTTTCCCCTCTGATCATCAATCTCATCTTTTGATAACCATGTCACATGTCTTCTCAAGTGCTTTTCTCTTCCTCCTCCTTCTCTCCTCCCCTTCCAGCTCTTCCCTCTCTCCCTCGGACTCCTCTGTCTTCCTTCCTTTCCAGTGACCTCGGCCTGGTTAACCATGTCCTCTGTCCTTGGTCTTCCTACCCTACTGTGTTCTCATTCCACCAAGGGCAGTTGGAGGCTGACACTCGGGGCCCAGCAGGCTCTGGTGCCTGTTGTTGGGTGATGCCAAGTACTGCCTGATCCTACCAAGAAGCACAAGCACTGCCTGATTCAGACCATCTGCTAAAAATTCACATCCCATCTTAGCCTCTGTGGTAATTAAATAGTACTGGAAGTGTTTATCCAAAGTCAAATGCTCAAGTATTTGGTTAATAGTCCTTCCTCTAAATAGGAAAAGGAATTTTGAATAATGTAAATTATTTTCTGGCTTGAATAAAGCCAGTTACTTTTATAAGAATTACATTTTATTATATTGTACCTAATAATTGTATAAAAAGAAGTAATTATGAATTTATTATTGTGACAGCAGTAAGCCAGGGAATGAAACTGAGCCAGATTTATCTAAATGGTGTAAATACTTTATTAACTAATAAGCCATCTTATCTAATAGCACCCCAACTGTAAATAGTTTTTTCTTTATACTGTTCATCCTAAGAAAAGTTAACAAGATGTACAATGTACTCATGATTTTTTTTTCAATTTGGTAATTACAAATTAAAGTTTTCCTCACAATCTCATGCTTCTTTTCTGCTCAAACACATTCAATGACTTTAAGTGAAAGAACAAATGCCTTAGTCTTGAAGACTGGAGATCCTCTATAATTCAAACCCTGAGGCCAGTCTGTCTGTACAGTAAATCCATTCTGAGGAACAGATGAGAAAGCAAAATAAGATGAGATTTAAAAGGGAGCTCTACTTGATTACTTTTCCCGTTTACCCCAATAAATGCTATCTTTATTTCATCCAAGCTTTAGCGAATAAATATATCCAAAGCAAAGTCTTAAGGGTGCTTATAACTAAATATAACTGGCGCCTCCACAAATAATGGTGTAGCAGTCAGCAGCATTTGAAACCACACATATTGCTTCCAGCTTGATCTTCTCTCTAATTCAACAAAATTCAGCAAAGATATTCATTAAAACGCATAGGAGTTAATTGGACTCTTCCTTTTCCCTTTCTTTCAGAAGAGTCAGTCCTAAGGGTGAGGCAGGGCAAGGTAGGCTTCTACAGCAGTGCTGGCCTGTGGCCTGGAATGAGGTGGAAAAGCTTGAGTGGGGCAAAGAGAGAGTCCACGTTGTGGGAGCAGCTTGGCACCGGCTGTCAGAGCGAAGAAGAGTCAGTGGGTGACATAGTGCAGAGAGGCAGCTTATGACATGAAGGGTCACACAGGGTAAGAAGGACCTCTATGCAGGGAAGCCGCAAGCAAGAGCAGTCAAAGCCCAAATGGTGAGAAGAGAAGATCTAGACCAGGGGTGGGGTGGCCCAGCATGAAATATTAGACTGAAGAGGGTGAGGGGGGCATCCATATAGGGTGAGGGAGAGGCAGAGATGGGAGCTTGGATACCAAGGGTTATGAAGCCAGTAAGGAAATATATGAGATAAGAGAATCCAGGTTTTCTCTCTGTGGAAGAGAGTTGCAGATATTCAAAAGGAAAAAAAACAAAACACTAGGACAAACCCTTTGTTTTTGGATTAGAATTGGAGGTATTGATGTGAACAGATCTCACAGTTCTCAATACATGGATAGATTATACATATAAATGTAAATGTGTTTATAGACTTATCTTGCTCTTTCTCTGTCTAGATATGTAATTATAGTTATAAATATATAGAAATATGGATAGGAATACAGATGTAGATATATAGATATAGATTTATAGATATAGAAATATAGCTATATAGATATAGATGATATAGATATAGAGCTAGGTATTCAACTGATAGAGCCTGGGAGCAGCAACATGTTAATAACAATGAGCACCATTAGTGTCCAGATCTTGGCTTCTAAATGCCATATTCTGCTAAGAGAACCAGGGTTTCTTGGAGAAATGGATGATTTCAAGGCTGAGGACAATTTGAGATAGAATATCATTTTGTACTAAAAGATAAGGAATTGCTAAAAGAATGTTGAGGACATATCAAAGGCACAAAAGCCAGTTTAAAGGGAGCCCTCACTAATCAAATATTGGAAAATTTGAGTATTGTAATAAAGACAGTAATGGAATAAAACAGGGATTCATGAATCTATACTTATATGTCTAAGTAATGAATAAATTAAAATTTTGATGAGGAAAAGAATAGATACATAATTGCAAAATACTGATAAATTGTAAAGGGAAAGTAATTTACAGTGGGAAAACTGGCAGATGTACTTTAATCAATAGATCAATGTGAACATTGTCACAGTGGGATAAATAAAAAATTTGTTCCACTTAATAAAACAAAATGACAAAAATACAGCATCACTTTTTGTTATATCCCAGATGAATCTGCATAACATGAATCTAATCATGAGGAAACATAAGACAAACTCAAATTAAGTTACATGCCACAAAATATCCTTCAAAAGTGTCAAGGTCATGAAAGTCAAAGGAAGATGGAAGACCACTTTAGAATGAAAGAGATGAAAGATACATGGCAACAAAATGTAATGTGATTCTGAACTGGATTCTTTTGCTATAAATGACATTATTGGAACAACTGGAAAAATTTGAATGAATTCTGAGGATTAGGTACTAGAAATGCATCAGTGTTAACTTTCTGACTTTTATGGTTGTGTTGTATTTATGTAGGAAAAAAATCCCTGTTGTAGGAAATCCACATCAAGGGGTGAATGGGGCATCAGGTGTGACAACTAAATATTAATGATGCAGAAAAATTTTTTTTATTATAATTCTAACTTCTATATAAATTTTTAATTATATAAATTACATTTAAAAATAAATAAAAGCCGAAACCGGTTTGGCTCAGTGGATAGAGCGTCGGCCTGCGGACTGAAAGGTCCCAGGTTCGATTCCGGTCAAGGGCATGTACCTTGGTTGCGGGCACATCCCCAGTAGGAGATGTGCAGGAGGCAGCTGATCGATGTTTCTCTCTCATCGATGTTTCTAACTCTCTATCTCTCTCCCTTCCTCTCTGTAAAAAATCAATAAAATATATTTTAAAAAATAAATAAAAAATATTTTTTTTAGAACTGCATCGCATTTTTTTCAAATATTTTTTTTTATTTCAAACTTGTTAAGGGTCATAGCCACAGTCCTGAAGGTATCTATTAAGCATTTCAGTAAGCACAAAGTGAAGGCACAGGTTGTCCCAAA